AAAAGTGTGTGAATGATGAAATAATGTGAAGAAGAAGAAGAACAAGTGTTGCTGTTACTTGATTGATGTGCAGAGCATTGGCTAAATGTTGTGCTCCTTCATGACCGATTTTATTTCTTGTAAGGTTGAGTGTGGTGAGTGTCTGTGCGAAAAGTGTGTGAGTGATGAAGTGAAGAGGAAGAAGAACAAATATTGTTGTTACTTTGCTGATTTGTAGAGCATTTGCAAGATGTTGTGCTGCTTTAGCATCGATTTTATTGCTCTGCCAGATCAGTGTGGTGAGCATCTAGATGAAAAGTTCATATAAAGACATGACATAAATAAAAAATGAATGAGAGTTACTCTGTTGTGTTGTAATGCATTCCATAAAGATTGTGCTTTAATATATTCGATTTGGTTCCACGAGAGATCTAGTGTGGTGAATGTCTAGATGAAAAAGTGGAGGTAAAGACACGATACCAAAAAAGGAATAGAGTAGGTGGTCAGTATTGCATGCGATTAGAACAGTAAAATTAGTGTTGTTCTGATGGGCGTGCTAGGTGTATGAATGCAAATAAGAACTTTTATACGTTTTTTATCCTGCACAGTGTTCAATAGTGTTTTGTGAAAATCTAGACTGACTTAAAAGAAGGTACCAAGTGTGAACTAGGAGTAGAAAGTTTTTATGTATGTGTTGCTTTAGTTTGTGAATGTTTGGGAAAGAAGGAAATACATGTCGGTTAATAACAAGTAGTATGTAAGCTACTCCTGAGGAGAACAGTTGCGAAGAATCGTATTATGTACCCAAATGACAATGTATTGCAGTGAATGGTTTATAGCGTAGTGAAGTATGGTGTAGCGCTTGTTAGTATTCTGTAGGTATGACGGAAGATAGTTTTTTATCGGTAGTTATTAGATAGTTTTTTGACAGTCATTATTCCGACTCGATATGTATTTTACATCAAAACTCTGTTTAAGTTATCGAACTTGATGTGTACGATTTATATAAGTGAGATTATATATTGATTTCGATGCAACCATACGGTTATGTTCATGAAAGCTACATTCATTTATAAAAAGTGAAAAATAAGTCAAATAATTTATTCTATAATGCTAGACTCATTTTGAGAAAGTGGATGCATGCTAAACGTCATTTAAGAAAATAAGGCTGACGAATTATGCTCGAAGTTCCGTCCTGAATAAACCATGCTTCACGTGAAATCCCTTCCGATGCAACGTTTTTTGGTGGAAAACTGCTTTAGAAGTCGCATTCCTTGAAGAAATATTCAATCTTGGTAGTATGAGTTTGATTGTTGTCGTGAGTCAATTTTCGCTATACTCACAGCCACCGGCACCCTCTGTTGGACACGCTCTTGAAGGAGTATTTGTCGTAAGCTTCTCAAGGAAGTATCGAGGACGTTATTTATAACAAGACAAACTAGTTTCTCGAAGGTTAATTTCTCTCAAAAGCTGATTTTTATTATTCAAATGGCATTTTCAAAAGAGAGGTGCTTGCATACAGGTAAAACGCAAATAATAATGTTTTATCTCTTTTTTTCGTTCTTATCTAAACACTGTATATTTATTACATCATACCTAATTTGAAACGTAGAATATTTAGATGAAATTTAATAGAAAGGAAAAAAGGAACTTGTTTTTCTAAGTATCAGGATACTATTTTTCATATTCTCATAATATAAGAAGTGAATGATTGTATGAATGATAAATAATTACGAATTAATGGGTGAAAATTAGGCGATCATGATGGAAAAAAGCTTACCTGGTACCGATCGTAGCTGTCTAGAATGCTATTGAACCGTTGACATACGCCTGCCATGGAGCATAGGATCGTAAGATCCGATTGCTGATCCAGAATTCGGTAGACAAGTTCTACCGGTAATGTAAGAAAACTGGTGGCTATTTGATTTGTCATTGTCGGTTGTTGAAGAAAGGTGTGCTCGGTAGCTTTATATGTTAGTTATATATACTGTTCTCTATCTTATCATTAAATGAGTGAATATTTGTTTTCTGTCATAGATTTCACATGATGTTGTAATTACTTGTTGGAAGAAAAACAACGAAAAAGAATAATATCAACTGTAGAGGGTTGGACAAAACTTTGATCGGTAAGACAAATGCTGATTTTCAACGGAAAAATAGTGTCTAAATCAAAAATGCTGCTTTCCACAGAGGATAGAATAAAGAACCAGTATCATTAACTTCGAATTCTATGCTAATCCAGCGGAAAAATGGAAATCCATAAGAATAATGTTTATTTCTATGAGAAAAATGATTTGGAAAAATATTTGTAAATACAGTCATATATATCATAATTCTTTATTGTTTCTACCCACACCCACAACCTCATTTAGAAAAAAAGCAAGTCTTAAACACATTTATATTGTTCTGTCATTGATCAATTCTGAGTTGAGAATGACGAAACCGTGATGACTGTTAACTCATTATCGATTTTAGAATCAATCATGACAGGTATCCAATCAAATGTTTGTAAATAGTTTTTCTTATGAAATTCTTCAGTTTTAATTGGAAATTGGAAATGAAATCGAAAGTGAATAAGTGAATATAGATGTTTAATAAGTTCTGATTGTAATTGCTGACCATTGATTGGATCTGGATGATAGATATTTTTCAATGTTAAATCTTCTAAAGATGATTCATACATTAAAATAAATTTATATAATGTCAAATAAGAAGAAAATTTTCCAATGATAATCAGCTTTTTTAAACATTTCGAGACATTAGAAATATTCATTAATTGATCAAATGAGTTAGACGATGAATCTCGAACAACAACATGCAATGATTTAAGATGAGGGAAAGAACAACATAAATCAAATAATTGTTTTTCATATCGGATATTAATTTTCAAATGTTCTAAGCTAGTCATCAGTTGTACACTTTGAAAACCAAATGGAATATAAATTTTATTAATTGATAATGATTGAAGTTGTTGCTGCCATGCACCGTTATTATTAAATAATATTCTAGCTAAACAACAAGTGTCATCATGAGACATGTCATCGGATGAATATTCAAGGGATAACGAACGTAATAATGGCGCTATCTTCAGTAGATCAATAAATAACACAGTATTATCTTCAATATTAATAATATGAAATGATTCAAGCTGAATCAATTGAATATTATATTTTGAAAGAATGTTCATTTGTCGACCAGTTAGACGAAGTGATGAAATACAATGAGACAATCGAGTATCATTACGAAAATATTTCTTTATCCGTTGTTCTGTATCAATCATCACAGGAACAAAATCGAAGTGAACAAGATATTGTAATAGAATAGCTTGTATTCGATCTGAGTTTATTTCAAAAAATGATTGAACAATAGCACTGGAAGAGAGATACGATAGAATTATTTCTAACAATTCATTTGGTAGACAAAGTAATGCTAATGATGTATCTTGGTTAGAGCAAACACTATTCGATTGCAAATTTTCGTCATCATTTCTTTTCTTTGCTAATCGAACCATCAAAATTTTCAAAATATAGCTAGTTTATCACAATATCTTAAACAGACGAGGAAAACAATCATGTTTTTAATACAAAATCAACATGTATATATATTTTCTGTAGTCTTAATCTATTTTCAAAAACAAGAAAAACATCAGTTAAGTTGTCATAGCCAGAAAGACATTGATGTACATAATTGGATTGGATTTAATATACACCTTAAGAAAATATCCTTATACAGAGGTCGCTATACATGCATTTTTGACATGTATATGAGCTGATTTTATATCAGTCTCTTTATTTATTACTTATACAGGATTGATCGTGTAAATGAGGGTGTGAATATAGTCATATATATCATATTTCTTCATTGTTTCCACTCACCCACCCTCAAGATAAAAATTTTTCAAAATCCAAGACAAGGTTACTCAGTGTAAGTAAGTGAACAGTTAAAAAATAGAAGAAAAGACTAATAAAAAAACTGACATAATAGAACAAATAAATGGACACAGTTCCGATTGTCGCCAACAATTTATTAACATTTCTCCGGAGACATGTTTTTTTAATGTTGTTGATTTTCTTATCCTAAAAAACATTCATTTTCATTATGTTGACATTGAAAAACCGTATATCTCTTTTTCTAACAGTTTCTCTATACGCTGCTTCTTTAAAGAAATATAAAATAACTAAAAATTATTCAAATTTCTTCACTATATAAAGAATAATTAGAATTATTCGTTTGTATCATCACTGAATTAGTTGAACACATGCAGCGTTTCACTTGTTTACGACGATATCATTTTGCAAGTTCAAAGTATGGATCATTTTGGTGATTATCGAACAATTTTCAGCTGAAGAGTTTATCACTTTCCCTAATACTTTGTCGGCATTGTTTTCCGATACTTATTAAATACGAATAATTCTACTCTGAAATAGTATCTGTCAATGAATTTGATTGACGTCGAGCTGATTGATAGATAAGCAAAAGCAATGGAGGGTATGGATATGAGATAAGAACAAGACTCACATTCACACCCACATCCATAACTAGCCTGCAATAGCTGTTAAATCTCGTCTTCAATATTGGACGCTAGACTACTAAGACTTAGTCTAGGATATTATCTAAGGTAGTTAAGGTTAGTTACTTCAATCAGAAAGTACTGTCAGTACTAAATGATTTTTATTGGAATTCTATTTGAAGTCTAAACTTCGATAGGTTAGACTCAAAAGTTACTAAATTATAAAGATTTATTTGAGTGTGAATATTAAATTCAATTTTGATTCCCACACTCGACTATATTAATTTCGATTTTCACCTAATGATAATGGAAAAAAAAAATCATCTACTTAATGTATCACCATTCAGAAGATATATTTTTTTTATAACAAATTAATGTAAAATTTTCGATGATTATCAGAACAAAAAAAACAAGCATAAACATAATTTTATGATTAGTATATTTTTAAAATAAATATAAATTTTCTCGTTGACTTTCTAAACAGATCATAGTGAAATGAAAATCATTTAAAATACTTCCAGGTATTGGCATTTTTTTATTATTTTATTGTAACTTGTTTTACTTCAGCCTTTCTACCATAAATAACTATTAATTGATGACATGAATTTAGTATTCTTTGCTCAAATTCTTTGACATAATTAAAGAAATAAATTTTTTGATTGGGTAACATTATATGATAATTATGACCATAAGAAATTTGTGTTAAATGTTTTACTCTTACTCGTTGATCAATTTCAAGCATCGCTGCATGAATACATCCATCACCCACATATTCTCGAAGTATAAAATCGTCTCGAATAAATTCATGTAAATATCGTTGTATTCGTTCCGATCTATAAAACCATTGTAATCGAATAATAAAAAAATTATTATAAATACAATTGACTCTCGGGAATGTTCTATTTAAAAATGTTTTTTCAATAACAAATAATGCATTATTATCTTCTCTATACCATGATCGATAAGCATAATCTAATTTTTCACGATCTATATATTGAAAAAGATCCATATTAGTATTATCTATAAAATATGAATCATCATCCATTCTCATTATATAATCATAATTTCCATAAACAATTGCTGGATGATAAAAAACATCATATGACCAGAATCGACACATTAAACGATAACCAGATGGGTGACTTTTAGAGAATTTATTCGATTGTTGAACATTTGTTTCGAAATTAAGAAGAACAAATGAAATTTGCATTGTTTTATTATTATAACGTACACATGATAAAATTTGTTGACGTAAAGCTAAAGTAAAATTGTTGTCATGAAATAAAAGAAATGGATATTGAAAATTATCATTCGTTGAATGAAATAAAATCACAGAATGAATCATATTAATAACCCGAGCGATTGATCGATTCGTACTACGAATAAGTGTAACAATAACACCACGTGGATTGTTATTCCAATTTACAGAAAAATTAGGATATTTAGGAAGTTCCAATGGTTTTTTATATCTAGACACAAACGATGATTTATGATAGGTAACGATGTAGTATGCAAAAAATAAAATAGTTGTAATGATGATAATAAATATTAATATCAAACGAAAAATACTGGTGTTTTGTTTTGAACTAATCAATGCCATTCTATTGTACACACATAAATATCCTATACAAAATTTATTATGAAATTATTTGATAATTTTTTATTCAAAGTATTTTTAATATAAGTACTCATGTTACCTGAATGTAAACTATTTCTTCAGATTGAATCAATGATTGTTTATTATTCTACATCTCTTCTCGATATTGACATATTTATTGATACATGAAATTATTATTCCTTCCTGCTCGATAAGTAATTATGTTGTATGATACTGATAACAACACTGTAAATACTATATTTTTACCTTTCTAATTGTTTTAAAGTACTATTTTTTGAATACAACCACAGTTTAATATCATATACCATTTTTTTTGATGATTTACATTTTGAATATGATGAACAAAAAGGATATTGAAAATAGCGAAGATAGATGTGAATGAGGGTGTGAACATTAGAGTCATATTTTACTATTAAAAATATGTAAATTGGTCACCATCACGCCTCACCATAACTAATGTTGACAATGTATATGATCATAATTAGCGAGATCTTTAACGTGACCGTAACTGATGATATCTGACAAGAAAATAAATAAAGAAAGAGAATAACATATTTTGTTCATAGTTTAAGTAAAAATTAACAAAAAAAGTACAGCTATTTATTATGCTTATCTATATATAACATCAAATTTATCAATATTTGTACCAATAATATTTAACAATTGATCACTAACAGTTATATCGTTTGGTAGAGATATTATTTATACAAATAACGAATGTCTTATGAATAATATCTGCATTTCTTGAAAATTCATCTCTTTTCTTCTTCAAAGAGTTAATACTTCATAGTTTATCAAAACATTAAATTAATAATATGCATATGACATTCGTATGACATTCAAAGTCAACTAGACTTTGATAATTATAGTATCATCACTATTCATAAGTGAGAATTACTTTTTTCGTGACTTTACCTTGAAAAATGAATACAAGTTATATGTTTTTTTTCTGCTTTTAGGACGCTTGATTGATTAGACATATCGTTTATTTAGATGTGAAAGATTTCTTATTAAGCATACGGGCTGTAGAAAACTATCAAAGTGCAATGAAAGAAAGTGGTTGAGTATTAGAACTTGTTATATAGAATCGAAGGTCAGCGAGATGAATATTAGAAATGTATTTCAATTATTATTAAAAGAACTTATAGTTTTAGTAAAGTTCAATGAGAGAAAACTTTTATTATTATTAATATGAAAGATTCAATTGATCGTGAAGAATACTTCAATGCATTATGTCATAGTGTAAAAATGAAATAGGTTTTTTGATTAAAAAAACAAAAGCGAGAAGCTCTATACTTAAATAAACACATACAATTTTTTGTGAAGGTGAAAAATAAGAAAAAGATGTATTAAATTGATATATCGACAACGAAACTATCAATTAATATAAAATGTAGCATTTGTAGTAGAAAAGGCATAATAAAATCAATTGGATAAGAAAATCCCATATTCCTATGTTTTTTCAGTCATTAAGTACAACTATCGAAAATATTTTTTCCACTGCCATTTTTCATAATGCAATCGATTTCTATTCATACATATGCGAAATTGTCAAGCTTTTATCACAGTTTGATTTATGTCGGGCATAGAGTTCACATAATGACATATACGATCAATTATATGACCTTGCTTTTCAATTCCATTCAGTTGATGCTCGTCAATAGTACAATAGTGTATATACATACTTCTGTATTCGTTTAAAATAAACAGAATTTCTTTTTCTTTTTTTCTTCTTCTTTTCTTTCATCAAGCTGTTTTCATTATGATTTCAATGGATTCTTATATACTTCTATTCTCCTCTCATCTATATCCACTAGTATATGTCTGTTTTTTTTTCGTTTACTTGAACTTAAAGAATGAGTATACTTTAATTCTTCCGAATGAAAGAATATCAATTTCTTACTGTAGAAATTATCAAAATCAGTCATACATACATATCGATATTTAACTTATGTCCTATATTTCGTAAGAGAGACTGAATATATTGATTCGTTATTTTTTTCTTTCAGATATGCGTAAAATTTATTGGCGTCGAAATTCTCTAACACCCATAATTTTCTTAGTTTTATTAATATGTTTTATTACATTTATAACAACGTTTCATATAAATCAAGAAAGTATCATTTCATTTATTTATCATACACCAAACAATTGTGATGAATTAGCAAGAAATTCTTTACTTCATCAATCAACAATTCCACCATATCATCTATTGATTCCATATCAAGAATTTGCTATGCGTACATCAATTTCTTGTCATTCATATAAACTTGATGAACCAAAAAAAAATCCATCCAAACTTCATCCAAGACATTCGCAATATTTACGTGGAAAATTTCCATATATTGTACCATATTCTAATATAACATTTAATGATATAGAAAATTTCTATACAAAAATTTTAGTAACAAAAAAAAATCAAAGTAAAATTCTACAAACATCATTTGCTTCAAATATTTCATTTGAAAATATACCCTATATATATAAAAACGACATGTGGCATCCTGTTGGTGTTATATCTGCACAACGAACAGCTATATTAATACCATTACAAGGTCGAGATTTTAATGCAAAAACATTTATTTTTAATATACACGCATTTGCTCGACGACAACTTCTTACCTATACAATTTTACTTATTGAACAAGTATGTATTAAATTAGAAGAAAAATAATTAGTTGTTTTTGTTGTATATGTTCAAAAGGTTCATCCACTTGGTCATCGGTTTAATAAAGGTCGTTTATTTAATGCTGGTGTTCGTTATATTCAAAATCAAGAATCATTAAATATTACATGTCTCATATTACATGATGTTGATTTAATACCTGAAAATGATGGAAATTTTTATACATGTGAACCTATACATCCAAAACATACAACGATACGAGTTCAACAAGTAGGTAGTAAACGTGGTTATACACGTTACTATGAATTTTTAATCGGTGGTGTTCTTTTATTAACAATGGATTTATATAAAAAAGTAAATGGTTTTTCAAATTTATATTGGGGATGGGGTGGTGAAGATGATGATTTATCATTAAGATTTATACAAAGACGTATATGTGTTGTACGACCAAGTGATGGTTTAGCTATTTATGCTGGTACAAAAAATATTTACTTTTTTCTATCCTCTATATTTTCTTGATTGTTTTAGCATTACCTCATCCACGTGGTCAACGAAATAATGCACGTTTTAATCTTTTAACATGGTCAACTATTCGTCTTGATACAGATGGTTTTGCACAAATTGATCCAATGATACGTTTTGTTGAAATACAAAAAAGATCAACTGTTACTCATATTAAATTAGATGTTAATGCTAATGAAGATCTTTATAAAGCACCTTCGATAGAAGAATATCAATCTTTAACAGATCAAACTGATGAGCATATAACTACGACCAGGAAAACTATAATAACAAAAAAAAATGTATCAACAATTACTTAGTTCAATTATATCATTTAAGAGATTAGGCAATATGTCAGATACATTGATATTAATGATGAGTACAGTTATTTTGTAAAATATTCAAATATTGATTTAGGAAATGTAATGCTTCTCTGTGTGTTTTATTAAGGACATTTTTTTTGTTATTGACTATTGATCGTATTTTTATCAAAGTTCCCATTTCATATAAATAATAAAAAAATACAATATTTTCATTGCTAGAAAAACATCATCAAAGAAATTATTTTTGCAAATCATTAAATAGAGATAATAAGCTCGGGGAAAATATAAAGATGTAGACTAAAGTTATGATAAAACAACTTTTTTTAGCTTTATTTTACATTTTTTCTAAATAATATACGTCGATTTATTGTTTAAATTATTATCAAATATTATGAGGTCGACACAAGACTTAACTAAATGTTACTTATTGTCTACGTTATATTAAAAGAAATATTACGAACCATAACGATTATTTTGAATGTCCTAGAAACAATGGTACTAAAGTAAAACAAAATTTTATTGATACATTATCAGTAAATCAAAAATGAGCGATGTAATCGATTTCTTAGGTAATGATTTTACTTGATCTATATCGTTATTTTATTTTGTATAACATCATCTTCTGGTTTAATATAATGTTCGCATTGTCATTCTACAACATCGCAATATTGATGTCAAAAATGTAATACATCTGTTTATTAAATAAACATAAAGATCATCCATATATTACAATGGATAAAACAGCTAAAGAATTAGAAACAAAAGTTTATCCTATAACTTATTATTTAGGTAAATAATGATTTATCTTTGATTGAATCAACATTAAATGAGAAAATCAATGAAGTAGATAATTTATTACCTAAGGTTAAACATGACCATAAATCGAATAAAGATGAAATTGCTAGTGTAACGAACTTTTTAGAAAAAGCTATTGCTGAGCATCGATAACTAATGAAGTTAAAAATATGGAAGATTTTCAAATTCGTTTACAAAATGAATTAGAAATACTTTTATCTAGTAACGATCAAATAAAATTATTACGTGCTAGACAAGGGGTTTCTATTTATATAAATCGATTATTAAATGGATTAAAAATAACAACGCAACATGCATATAGTGTAGAAGGAATTGATAAATTAAGGAATATTAGAAGTAACATTATAAAATGTGGAAAGGTTGTCGAATCTCCAAAACATACAATATTTCATAATTTCCAACTTGAAAATTAATTAGTGATAATAAAACGCCACAAGAATGGGATTTTGGATATCAAATTCCTAGTTGATAGCTTACAGAATAATACTGTAAATAAAAAATTCTTTTATTTTACTAGTTATATCTTTAACTTTTCAACTTATAGATTGCTACTACACTTCGCTTACATGAAAATCAAACTGGTGATCAGGGAGCACAGGATCTTTCTAGTGCTCTTTTAAATAATAGAATGATACTATTTATTCAATCTATTAGTTTCTTCCTACTAATATATTCTTATAAACATTAACATTACTTATTTCTCATTACCTTTCTCAGAATCGAATTGATAATGATGGTACCCAACAACTTATTGCAGCTCTTCGACAAAATAAAGTACAATTATTCTATTCTTTTTTTCATAGACATTGGCTACGCTTAGTCTTCATCAGAATCAAGTTAATCAAGAAACACGTCACAGTACATTGATGATGAATTATAAATTCAACAACCATTGACAAACATTCTAGTTTTTTGCTTTAATAATAAAGATATATTTGCAAAAATTACATTTATGTACTTGATTGAAGATTATTCATCGGTTTCTATTTCTTAATTTTGATATGGCGCAACAACTAACCGAGAAAAAAAAAACGTTTACAATTAAATATCATTTGAATAATGATCGCCAATGGCATTCATATCATCAATATTCATGAAAGAAAAAGAGAGAGAGAAAAGAAAAGAAAAAGATACACTTGCTATTGATTGGTCATCGATTAAATACTGTTGATGAAACGAATTAATCTATGTTCTAATTAATACATAAAACCATAGAATTCCATTTTAATTCTTTCTTTGCTATTATATATATTTATTCGATTTGCACATCAATTTTCCACTTATTAACATCAGAGAACAATAAAAAAAAGAATAACATGACTTAATCAAATTAATTCATCAATAAAAAAAGACGTGGTATCATTTACAAAATTGTACCATAAATGGTAATATGATGCCATAGAAAAAGAAGGAGTTAGTTAAAATTCTAACATACTTCTAGACAAGTTTATAGAACTAATTATCATTGACAGAAAGAGAAAAGAAAAGTTGATAGAAGATCAAAGCATGCACGTCAAACACAACTGTATCAATCAGTCGTGTCAATACACACACTATATGAGCATCATCGTCTCGGTCATGGATTCAATTAGAATAGCCGAAAGGCATAAAATGTCAGTTTACAATTTGTGTAAAGAGTGTGAGAGACAGTTCATAAATTGACGAGGAATTTATAGTGTTAGAATTCAAGAAAAAGGAAAGAATAACATGATGCATGATAAGAGAATAGAATATGATAGGAAGATGGCAACGATACAGTCCCGCTCATTGCATATGCTAATTGAAATGAAGATGTGTGAACAACACGATCATAGATCAGTTTGATTTGACTAAACATAGTGACGAGCATTAATAAAAAAATGTTATCGAAATACTTGTTACTATTTATCATTATTAAACAATATTTAATAGTTATTAGTGAAGGTAAATATTTCTATTCATATCAATTTGTTCAAATAGAAAACATTAATGATTAAATAGATATTGATGTTGATCATGCTGCTTCATTTGCTCGTCGTGAAATATGGAATTGGTGGGATTATTCGGATGGTGTCAGCGGTCCTGCATCATGGGGTTTTTATTATCCACTTTGTGATGCTGGCCGTTTTCAATCACCAATTAATATTGAAAGTCGTCATTTAATTTTTGATTATCAATTAACACCGATTCATATCAATAATAGTGAAAATGTTTGTTAATCTTTTTTTTTTCTTAGAAAAGAATTCTTTTTTTTTTGTTTATGGATAGATTCGTGGAATTCTTCGTAATGACGGACGTAATCTTTATATAATTCTTCCATTAGATTCAAATTCAAATATTGACATTAGTGGTGGACCACTTCAATATAAATATCGTCCCGTAGAAATTTATATTCGTTTATCACCACCGACTATAGGTAATGAAATACCAAAAGGAAGTGAACATCAAATTGATAATCGATCATTTCATGGAGAAGTATGTCATAATTCATATTTAATTAATTCAAATTTCTCTTGTTTAGATTCAACTTGTTGCATATAATATTGATCTTTATAAAGATTATGCTCAAGCTCAAACATCACCGAAAGGAATCGCCATATTATCTAGCATGTTGATGGTAAGTAAAGAAAAATTATAATCAAAAAATCTATTTATTTTATTTAAGTTGGGTGGTGATGCTACAGCACAATTACGTTATGTTTTACAACAAGCTGAATTATTAAATAATACTCGTCGACCATCAGATATTCAATTATATAAACTTGATTTAAAAGAATTATTAGCTTTTTCATCTGAATATATGACTTATGAAGGTTATATTAATAAATATTTACTCTATTTCTTATAAATTACATTTTAATTAGGTAGTCTAACATGGCCCGGATGTTTTGAAAGTGTAACATGGATTATATTTAATCGATATCAACAAATTTTAAGTACTTATTTACAAACACTTTTTACTAATACACTTCGATTTGTTAATAATCGTCGTACATTAATTACTGGAACAACTGCACATAGAAATGTTCGAACAAATATTGGTTATGAACAATGGTTTCGACCATCATCAACATCAACAACTTGTTATCCAGTAAATAATATACTTGAATATCAAGGTAAACTAATTTATATAAAAATCTATTGGGTTTTTTTAAAATTCTTTTTTTTAGTTAATAGTGATTTTGGCATGGCAGGAATATAATTTCAGTTTTTTTGTAGATATATGTATTGTTTAGCATTCTTTTTTTTTTTAAAAACATTAATAAAGATTTTAATTAGAGAGAGAGAAGAGAATTTTTTATGATAATTTCGCCGATTGGGTAAGTCGATATTTTTCGAAACAAAGGAAAATTTTCTTTCATTGTATCAGTTTCTGTTTTATTTCACACATGTTAATATAGTTTGAATATAAGTATATATCAGAGAATGAATAAAAAATCACACAAACGAATACAAAAAAAAATCATTAAATAGACAAACAAAAAAAACAAACAAACATCTGCTTTTCATTTTCCTATTTATATAATATATAGTTTTTCCTTTTTCTTTTTTTAGTTTTTTAATCTGAATGTTTTTATTTTTTTTCATCATTCACTGTTTTAAAAGTAACTAATTATAAATAAGAGATGGAATATAGTTTACTGGTTGTGTAAATGACGGAATATATTGAACTGGTTGATAGATTGCTAGAAATAGATTCGTATAAATTTCAATATAAAATTAATATAAGATATTTACGATAGGACTGAAGAGTATTTGTTGGTTGTTGCTGTTGTTGTTGTTGTTGTTGAGGTTGTTGATGTTGTTGAAGTGGTATTCGTTGTTGATTATTATTATATATTCGATTTTTGGATCCTAAATATTACGAATAGGAAGACAAAACAAAATTCTTCTATTTACCATGTTTAGAACCCGATGTATATAGTTGATCTTCAGCTATGTCCATTAAATCTTGATTAACTTTTTGTCCAGCTTCTTGTAAAACTCGAACTAAACTTGGTGCTTGTTTAGCATTGTCAGATGTAAAAAATGTATATCTAATTAAGATTAACCGTTTTTGTTTTTATCAAAAAAAAGAAAATATTAAACATACGATGTTCCAACAGATTCAGTACTTCGTGCTGTTCGACCAATACGATGTACATAATCTTCAGTTTGATTTGGAAACTATTACGAATTAATGAATGAATAATGAAATATTTTTATTGAATGTTCTTACATCAATATTAATAACAAATTGAATATCTTGAATATCAAGACCACGAGCAGCAACATCCGTTGCAATTAAAATAATCTTACGTCGACGACGGAATTCACCCATTGTAAAATCACGTTGTGATTGTTGTTTATCACCATGAATACAAAGCTATATTTATTTTATTAATATCGTAATTTTTCAAAATAACTTTAACTTACTACAGGAAAACCCAGTTGTTTCGTCGTACGATAAATTTCATCAACACGTTTTTTTGTTTGACAAAAAACAAGTGTTTTAGCATCTCGTAATGCCATTACTTCACGAAGTAATTGTAAAAATCTAGTTTAATAAGTAAAAGTCATGTTGTTTCTAATTTTCTTCGTTAAATTAAACAAACCGATTTTCTTTTTGTGATTCTGTACAAACTTCAATTATTTGACAAATACTTGGATTTGCTGCTAAACTTACATTTCCAATTGTTATATGTATACGATTAGTTGACAAAAATTTATTTGCTAATTGACGAACTTCTTTTGGCCATGTTGCACTAAACATAGATGTTTGACGATCTGACTATATATAAGAAAAATTATTTATTTCTAGCAAAAAACAAAAAAATCTATCATACACGAATACGTTCACAAATCTGACGAATTTGTGGCTCGAAACCCATATCAAGCATACTAAATAGAATATATAAATATTAAAAAAAAATAATTCAATTTTGTTTTTTGACAAACCGATCAGCTTCATCTAATACAAGATATGTTATTCGGTCAAGTTTTAAAACACCTTCTTCAATAAAATCTAATAGACGACCTGGTGTACCAATTACTACTTCAACACCTATTAAAAATAGAAAAAAAAGTAATTCTTCTTTTAATTCAAAATAATTTTCTATTTACCAGCTAATAATGAATTTCGTTGTGGTTCTTTTGCCGCTCCACCAAATATAACTGTTGTTCGACATTGTGCTAATCTTCCAAATTGATGTGCAACTGTATAAATTTGTTGTACTAATTCACGTGTTGGAGCCATAACAAGAACAATAGGACCATCACCGGGTTTAACAAATTCTTGATGACTAGCATGAATTATTGCTGGTAAAATAAATGCTAATGTTTTTCCTGAACCAGTTGATGCAATACCAATTAAATCATGGCCAGATAATAATATTGGCCATGAACATGATTGAATAACTGTTGGTTTTTGAAAACCACATTGAATAATTGTTTCCATCACTGGATCTAATTTAATTACAAAAAAGCAAGTATTTAATTTAATAACAAAGAAAAAAAAATGTCATTTACCTGGAAAATTTATTTCATTAAAATTACATACTGGTCTTGGTGCATTACCATCAATAGTTATTTGATGATTTGATAAAAATTGTTGGATATCTTCCTAGAATAAATATGAATATGAACGAGATATAATTGGTAGTAAAATTCAATCAATCAAAAAAACAAATTTTTTTTGTAAGATCTTTTGTATTGAGCGATAAGATAAAATTAAAAAACAATCAACGAAACAGCAATTTAAGTTTCATATACATACTAAAAACTCATTGACTTCTTTTGATTAATTTCGAAATATTTTTTTTTTATCTTTTATAAATATTTACCATAGATCGATGTTGAACAATGGGTGATTCTATGTAAAAATTCTTTTCAAAATTTGATAAAACCAATTGATTCCAATCTGGTTTTGGTGTTGTCAATATAATTCCATCATTCTATAAATATAAGAAACAAAAAAAAAAATAATAATAATTATAATAAAGTATTCATTTTTATTTTTATTTTTCTTACACTTTGCCGTTGATAATGATCATATCCATAATTTGAATTCATATATGGTTGATATTGATTCATTTCAAATGGAATAGCATTATAATTAAGAGTCATGATTAAATAAATATAATATTGATACGAATGGCGGGAATGAATTGTTCGTTTGATTCAAAAAGTACACGTCTTAGATGACGCCACTAATCCAATAAACGTTCATAAACCAATAAAATTAATTCGCAAAAATACAGAACACTATTATTTGTATATTGTTTTTATCTTAACAATGAATAATCTATTTGATAATACAGAAAAATCAATTAAAATTAATAATAATAAATTAGAAGAATTACAAATAAAAAATGTACTTAATCCATTCAATCAAGAATTTATCAATGAACAATATGCAAAAGAATTGGGAATTATTGTGAATGGATACTATCGAAACTGGTAAAACAAATATTTATACTTCTTTGTGAAACTTATAAAATTCTTTTTATTTTTAGTTATGGTGGATTAATTCCATTAGTATGTTTATTAAACTAATTATTTATTTTTATTCGAATTTTTCTATTTTAGCATATCGCAGCAAGAAAAGGTTTTATTAAATTCGTAATAAATGATCGAATTGTAATTGAATATCGTTCAAAACAATATTCAATTATATCGAATCTAACTATTCATCAAGTGTATGATAATATTCAACAATGTATGATTTCATGTCAACAAGCAATCGATAAGGGTTATCTTAATTTAGAATTATTTCTATATACAAATTTAAATCTATCTATGGAAATACATGAAGCATTTTATCGTGGATTAATTATCGGAGATTTACAAACGAATGTCACTCAACCAAAACCAATTATTTCTATAAATGAAAAACGAGATTTTGAATATGAAAATTTATTTTCATCATTAACAAATATTATTAATAGTTTAAGTGAATTTCGTAATACAATAAATATTATTGATGAATGCGAATTAACATCAGATGGATTTATTAAACAGAAAAAAACAGGAAAATGTTATTTATTAACACAAGCTATAGAATCTGGTCTCGTTTCAATTAAAGATACATCGATAAAAAATCAAACGCATCAGTCAAAAAATGGCTTACAAAACATCCTATCAGCAAGTTATTTAATTTTCATTGGACAATCTAATCGAGATTCTTTATAAATTTCATTAATATCTGTGCGAACATCACGTTTTTTTCTTTTCTTCTTCGACTCTGTCACCTTTGATACAAATCTCTGAGGAATGGTTAAATTTGTCCAAAGATTTTGTATCTATGTCTTACAAAGCATCTTAATGCAATTTTTCGCCTATGAAAAATATTATTGGACTTAGGACTCCAGTGCAAATTTTCCTTAATAATAAACATAAAAAATATTCTTATGACTCATTCTCTCGACTATGGAATACTCCTAGCGTGCGTCTGACAACTGTTGTCGTATATTTATAGTAGAATCTCATAGATTAAGTTGATAAAACTTTTTAAATATTTTTATATTCTTATTTAGGAATCTACACTTGTCAATAATACAATGTCATCGACTATGAATACAACTTCTGATGAAGATGGAATTAACCCAGTAGGTTATTTATTTAAAAAAAAATATTTTAAATATTTCTACGATATTTTAGTATTTTTCGGAAACGTTTATGTTCGATTTATTAAAACCAACTGCTAGTTCAGTCGATGAAATAGAAAATACTGAAATTTATCCTATAAATACGAAACGATTGTTACCTTCAATAAATACTTGCTAAAATGAAGAAGCAGAAGAAGAAGAATGCATGCATGCAGAATGCTTGTAAACTGTCAAATATTATTTTTTTGTAAACTATGGATTCTTTCATATGTTCTGATAAGCTTATAATATGAGCATATTTTTTCATAAAGTTTAATACAACTTATATTCTTATTAGATGAGAAAAATAAATAAAATACATCTTGTATAATTGATAAAGCTTTTATTTCATTGGAACAAAAAAAGAGGCTGTTGTCTGGAGGAATGACAAGGATAATGGTTATAAGTAAGCTATAGGAGAACACTAGGAAAGGAAGAAACTCACGATGGAATTCCCATTTGATGTTAATAATATTTTACCTTTTGAAACAACAATACTCAATGGAGATTATCGAATTCTTAATCCAGAGCAACCAGCTAGAATAGTGTAGGTATCGAATTATTATTTCAATTTTTTTTATATCATTTTATATAGTGCGCCTGAGAAGCTGACATCTATTATTGATGCTATCGGTGATGCTTCCTATAAAGTATGTTATATTTTTTGAATTTTACAATATATTTCATTGTTTTTTATGAATCAGGCACAAGGATTACATGGTGCAGTAACAACAGCACGTAAATTTCGTATGTCTGATCATCGTTTATATATTATTAAAAAAGCCGATGATAGCAAGTTAGAATTATTTTCTAATCCATAGTTTAAATAAATATGTATATATTTTTTTATAGAAATTTAGGTTCTGTAGTTGGCCTACTAAAAGTTGGTTCGAAACATCTATATATTTATGATTCAAATGGTCAAGTGTATGAACGAACTCCATTATGTGTATTAGATTTTTATGTTCATGAAAGTAAACAAAGATTAGGTTACGGTAAAAAATTATTCGAAACAATGCTTAATGTAAGTAACATCAAAATTTTTCTTTAGTTTTGATATTTATTGCTTTCTTATTTAATTAAGTTCGAAAAATGTACTCCCGTTGAATTAGCTAGTGACCGTCCATCGAATAAATGCTTAGCATTTCTTCATAAACATTATAATCTTTCTTCACCAATTCATCAAGTTAATAATTTTGTTGTCTATCAAGGATTCTTCAATCAATCTCCTAGTATGAAACAAAACAAAAACTTCTAATTGTATATTTTCCTATTTTTAGTTGTTGAAAATCGAAAACCATCAACTATAAAACAAAATCAAACATTCACATCATGGTTATTACCATCAGAAAGACAACAACAACAACATAGATCGTTTACTGAACATATTAATATGGAGAATAATCCAGGTATAAGAACATTTACAAATGAAAATCATCAGCAATTATCTACGACACAGCAGAATGGACTTTATAGAAATTCATCGGTAAAAGATAATCGTCAATCAGTTTCGTTCTTACCACAACAGACAGATAGAAGTATGTTAAAATTTTCTATTGAACTGAATTATTTTCATTGTTTTTAATATAATAGCACAATATACTCCTCGAATATATTCTCAAGTATTTAATCAGAATAAGTATGTTCATCGATATATTTTTTTGTAAAAATAATCAATCGTTATATTTAGTTCTAATCCACATCTTTCACAAAAAAATTCAAATAATATTCATCTACCAGTAATCGAACAGTATCGTCGACCTATTGAATTTACTTCTAATATATCGAAATCACAACAATCTCTAATTAAATCAACGAATAATCAGCAGCAATCACACCCATCTTCAACAACATGGAGAATATTTGGCACACCTCAGTTATATTATTAAAAATTTCTATTATTTTGTATACTGCGAATATAGAGCTTTTTTTTTCTTTCTTCGTCTCAGTTGTTTATAATAAATATTTAATTGACATGCAATATAACAACTTGGCTACTTATTTATTTGTACTAAAACATAAAGTTATCTTCACAGAATTGTTTATTCTCTCAATTAAAAGGAAAATAAAATCGATGTCATGTTTTTCTTATATATATCATAAAACAATGGATCTGAATACTATAGTGTTATCTTAAGGGTGTGGGTGGAGGTGTGGGTGTATCACACTCACACACACCCTCAAGATTTACATTATTTGTCAATAACAAAGGAAAAAATATATAATTTAAAAGTAAATTAACTATGATTTTAGATATCGTACTCGATCATTTTGATATCGAAGACCTACATGCAACTGCCATGGAAATGGACATGTCTCTATATTTATATCTAACTGTTGTTGAATTTTGGTTCGTTCATTAATTAAGCGAAGTATTCGTTGATCACAGTCAACAAATAATTCAACTATATCATCTTGTATAATATCACTTTTAACTTTATTATCTCCTGGTTGACTAGTTCCATCAAGTAATATCCAACCATTTGCAATCCAACCAAAACTTGTCAGAACAAGATATGATGTTTCTTGTATCGGTGCATCTTTTGAAACAATACCAAAACAAATCCAATTATTAATACTGAATTGTTCAATTTTAAAACGAAATTTATGTTGTCCTGATGAATATTCACCTACACAACGTACTGTTGAAAGATCATTTGAATTCGCAATAATAACTTGACCATGTTCTTCAATTTTTATATTGCCAGCAACACGATGAAAAAATTCATTTCTTTCCATGTTTATACTAATTTTTTGTATAGATATTGTATCTTTTTCATCTTGAACAATGCTAATAGATGGCATTGAATTTAAATATTTATTCCATTTATTAAGTTTATCCATCCAATCTTTTAAATCATATTCAATAAAATTGTTTTCAAAACGTGCTTTAGTTAAGTCTTTGGTAAGATTTTTTAAGCCTTTTGTTATACGAACAGTACGATTATCGACAATATCTAATACTTTTGCTCGAATATCATCAGCAATTTGACGAATTTTTTCAATCGATTCTGTTTCCCATTGATCAATATCTTTCATAAATGGATAAGTACGTGATTTGTCCATGGATTCAAAGAGATTTTGTTGAAGATTATCATGTTCTTGAATAATATTATCCAATTGTTTTGATAATTCTTGTCGATGTTCTTTGGCATGATCATTACAAAAA